AGATAATGGATGGATGAGTTTTGAGAGAAGTGGGCATTTAGATGGCAGCAAAGTTCCAATGAACACGTCACTGGAATTATATATACTTGCGAGAGATTTGCATCTAGTTTAACATTGTGCTTCTGTAACACTGGTGGACTCAAACAAGACAGTTCAAAGTTTCTAAATCAATGCAGCGCCAGTCTTTCATGCCACACATTGTTCTTCCATGGTCAAAACCCGACGCCTTTATCACCCACACTGCAGCTTGACCAACTGTTGGGTCGGAAATTTGGGTTCCACCCAGCCGACGCTGAGTCGAGGGACATCAGTAGTGGTGATTCAGACACAAAAGCTCCAACACTTGTAATCACACGTAATAAAGTGGTAAAAAATGCCTTTAAACTAACCAAGAGCCCAAACATTAAGCTGTCTCTTCTGTTGCTGCTTCAATCTTTATTTCTTCTTCTGAGCGTCTCCCAATTTTATGGAAGTGTATTATGAAGTTGCCCTCTCAAACGCTTAAAAAATATGGATTATCAACACCTCAACAACTACACAGATGCGACCAGAGCAGCTACTTCATGGATCCAGAGCTCATATTGATATTACTTTTATACCAAAAGCATTTTATTACTGTTAGCTTTGCATTTTCTTAAAAAAATCGGAGCCAGTGTTTTTCTCAAATATTGTCTACCTTGCTGCATTTTCATGACGCGACTGCCGTCATGCTCACTTCAGCAGCGCCTCGAGAGTCGCCCTCGCTACAGTTAACGCATCCAGCCTCCCTGTGATGCTGATGTCTCACGTAGACTGACCGATTTTTCTGGTGAAACAGCGGCAGACTGGGCCCGGCCCAGCCTCTCCCAGCATGGCGCCAATACGCAGTAAATCACATCATAGGAGGAGAGGAACCCCCCGCGGAGAACCTCAGGCGTACAAAGTCCACACACAAAGAAACGTAACTGCAGCTTAGTTTAAACCCCCTGCGGCTGACTTCAACTTCCACGGATGAAAAGTAGGAGGTGGGAAAAACCATCCAAAGAAACAGATCATGACAAAGTGGAGAGACTGCCATCACATTTATTGTTCCTCATGACTTTAAAGCTTTCCCTCGGTTTGTTTGTTTCACAGTGAAGCTGCATGAGGCTTGTAGAATCAGTGGTGCAACAGGACGCCTTTAACTTGAGGTGTGCGTCTGTTTATAGTGAAGGTGGAAAGTTTTGTGGGTTGATTCTAGAGCATCATTTGTTGCTTAAACGCTGATGCTAGTGCTTGTTAAATTTCAAAATGTAAAGCTGTTCCTTCAGTTGACCTACCAAAGAATGATCGCAGGGATGCTAGAGTGTTCTACTGCTTTCTCCAGTTCACTTTCTTTCTAAATCCTCATATTGACAACATATGAGACCCCTTTGGTCCTACACATTGTACATATGTAGTCCTTCGTGTTGGATGTCATGCCTATAATGGTCTCTGCACATCTGATTAGAACCTTAAGAAACATTAATGTAGAAGTCACAAATGTGTGAATAATACAAAACCATTACATCAGCAGCAATGTTCCATACTCCATGTCTGGAAACAGTTTCCAGCCTCGTAAACATCTTTCAAATAATAATGAAGACTTCAGATTAAATACCTAAAGTTCCCCCAAATCAGGATAACTCTGACAACATCGTCAGGGTTATTTTTCCAGACTTCAGTAAGCTCCTTCAAGGCTGGAGAAACTTTCTGACCTGCTGACTCCTCAGGACGAGTAAGCTGATGATAATGTGTAAAAAAAAAAAATTGGGTTGTTGCACATTGAAGATGCCCCAAGGAGGGTTTTCTGGTTTTCCAAGTTCGTCAAGTTTCCTCAGCAAGGTTCACTAATGTTATTTCTTGATGTAAGCTCTTTAACGGGGATCACTGGATGGTTGAGATGTATGTGATGGAGCAGTGTCCAGTTTTGAGAATTGTGAGAGTTGGAAAAGAAGCAAACATGTTTGGACTGTTTGTCACATGGTAAAAGAAATTACATCGTCTTCTCTCCGTCTGCAGATCTGAAGTGTTGTTGTGTTCAAAAAAAGTAGGATGCCTAAAATCTGTTGTCCAATCTGTTCTGAGGTCCTTCATCACCGCCAGCGACCACGTGCTCCTTTTCAAAATCTGCTGAAAACATTCCTGGATTCTCAACAAATGATACAAAAGCTGTTGTTTATGCACTGAGCTGAATTTCCACCAGCTGTTGTTGAAGTCTGAGACATCCTGCAGCCCATCAAACACGGACAGGTGGAATGTACTCCATGAGTGATTAGCGATAAAGTCTTCCTCACAACTTTTTATCTAATGAAAATCATCATGCAGCCTGAACATACTTGTCAAAGACATTTGCTGCTCGACTCAGGTTCTCCTCCAGCTCCTGCCTTGATTCTCGTTCACATTCTGCTAATCCCCATCACTAAGCACAGCAGGAAGCCTCAGCCGCTGTACTTCACAGCAGGGACGATGACATTGGTGGAATCATGAGCTCAGCCTACTCTGGCAGATAGATCAGAGTTTTCCTGCTATTTTAATGTTACTCTGATGAGCCACAACAGTACGGCCGCTGCTGACTAGCAGGCTGTCGGTTTGTGTGGCGTTTTATATTCGTTTTGATATAATAATAATTATAGCGCCAATTCACAACATTTCCATCTCATAGCATTTCACATAGTAAGGTGAAGACCAGACGAATTTTAAACAAAAAACTCTGGATTCCATATGAACGAGCAGTCGGCAACGGTAGCAAGGAACAAAATAAAAAAAGAAAAACTTTAATGGAAAGGATTGAAAAAAACCTCAGAACCAGGTTCAGGAAAGGCGGCCATCAGCCTCAACTGGTTGGGGTGAGAGTGGAGATGACGGTGTTGGAGGATAGCAGGTTAGCAGATGTAGAACAGACAAACAATACAAGTAAAACAATGAACATTTTGGAGGTCAGTGAGGCCAGCGACTACAGATCAGAAACATCTGTGGCGAAAACAAACAGGACCTCAGAGGAGTCAGTTGGTCACAGTTGGTGACATATAATCAACTATTGGGATTATAAAATACAGAATTACTAAACAGGTCTAGTTTAGCTATCAGCTTTAAGATTTAGCGTGTGTTTTAGCCGTTTGGGTTCCAGGTCAGGGCTCCAAAATGGTGGCATATGTGATCATTTTTCCAGAGTGTGCCAGTTAACATTTCACGTGGTCGCATTTGTGCGAGTGTATGATGATCATCAGGCTGAGTTGGAGACTCTCCAGCTGCCAGGGGCAGTTACTCTGTTAGTTGTGTGGGTTTTAAAGATTCAATTATCTGTCCAACTCAGACACAGCTGTTGATCAGAGTGTGGCTTCATTCAGGGAGATCTCTGCTGAGTCAGTTAAACAGAAAAAGTAGCTCATACACTCACTCAGGACAATGAATGCAGCACTAGAGCTGAAAAGGAAAACTAATATTAACAGCAATCACAGTTTTGGCTTCCGATGATTACGTGAACGTGACCGACTGCCAAACTGAGCGAGCTGCAGCCATCTGGCTAACGTTTACCTGCATGTTGAGGGACTATTGGTTAATAGTGGCGTCTATCAATAAGCAGAAGTGAGGAGTTTAGAGTGACCTCCTTATAGAGCTGATATCAGAAAAACAGTGTCGACAAAAGGAATGTATGTTCAGACTAAAACATTTTGCACATATTAAGTCTTGAATCACTGACAGTCTTTACATCACTGCTATGTTAAGTTTTGCAAAGACGATTAAGAGTTATGGCTGTACCAAAAACCTTTGTGTAGGGCTGAAGTTGTGCTGACAAAGTTGGAAGCATCAGTGCTGCCAGCGCCCTGGTCATAGTGTTTTGTCTCATTGGTGTGCTTGTGTTCCTGGCAGGTGGAGATAGAGAAGCTAAAGCGGACTGTCCACTCGACGTGAAGCCCATAATCCAGCCAATAGCAAGCCTCGAGGTCAGCTGCTGGCCTGTCGACCAACCGGAGAGCAGGAGGGCGGCGGCGGTGGCGGACGGATAGTCGAATGGACGGAGAGAAGGTGGAGAATCACATGAACCACCCGGAGCACAATCTTACTTTTTTTTTTTTCCCCCCCCAGTGATCTACAAAAAACAAACTCTCCCCATATTTGTAAGATTTACATTTTGCACATATAAATTTTTTTTTTCAAGCTAGGTGTAATTATGTTACAGATGTATATGTTTCTCTCTCTCTTTTTTTTTCTCTTTGTTTTAAATTTTGCCAACACAAAAAAACAAAACTGAGGCCTTACTTCAACTACTGCGCTGGACTCACAACTCTGCCACTCCCGCTCTCTCCCCCTTCACTCCGGCGTTCCTCCAACTCCTCAGGAACGAGGTTCGCTCTCAGTACTACTGACTTTGTAGAAAGCCGGGGGACGCTTTGTTTTCCTCGCCTACTTTTCTTTTCTCTTTTTTTTTAAAATGATGCACAAATAGTTGATTTTTTTTAAAACAAGTAAGATTGTTTAAGATGTTTGATTTGAGTTGGCATCTTTGGATTTTTTTTTTTTTCCTTACACGGCGCCCGTCAGCAGTTTTCCATCCCGTTGGCTGCAAGCGCTTCAGAGAGAGCTTTTCACTTTTCTTTGTCTTTTTATATGTTTTCTAGCATTCCTATCCAGGGTAACACTACTGTGCCTGTTAAATACAACAACAAAAAAAATCTATCAAGTGTTTGTAATGGGATCTGGAATATTTGCAGCATGATATTGTATATCTATATTTTTAAATCTACTGACATGCCTAGTCAAATATTATGTAGAGGGCCTCTTCTATGCTGGTCTCTTCTATTTTTGTCAGACTGTTTGGCCCACTGGGAATGTTCTCAGACGCTTCGCCAGAGTTGGTAAAACAACCATGCAAAACAGCTGAAGAGGAGAGAAAGAAAGGAGAGATTGCATTCTTCCATAAAGGCAGCCTCGTTACGATCATCTCTGCAGCTTGCTTTCTTCTCTTCTTTTCAATCTGACCACAATCCCCCCCCACCACCCACCCCTCCAATCAAACCGCTGTCCGTTCTACCTCCTCCTCTTTTGTGTCTTTGATTCCAAGTGAGTCATGTGACCTGAGAGGAGCCTGGTCTTTCTGCATGAGCCTGCGCAGCACTCATCGGCGCAATCGTTCTACGTGCATCTTATCGTCTCCGTCTCTTCCCACATTCCAGGTCCACGAGTTAAGCTAACTGGAAGCCGAGCTGCAACGATTAATCGATTCATTGTCAACTATTAAATTAATCGCCAAGTATTTTGATAATCAATCGGTTTGAGTAATTTTTTTTTTATCTTTAAAGGAAAAAAATGTCTCTGATTCCAGCTTCTTAAATGTGAATATTTTTAGTTTCTTTCCTTTTCTTTGACAGTAAACTGAAGATCTTGGGGTTGTGTTTGAGGTCACAGTTTTCCGACGCGTTATACACCAAACGACTAATCGATTAATCGTGAAAATAATCAATGATGAAAATATTTATGCTAAACTGGAAGTTGAAATACACTTTTTTTTATTCCCACTTAAGCCCCTGTGTGTAGTTTTTTTTTTTTTTTAAATATATATGTTTATTATATCCTTGAAATGATCCTGATGCTATCAGCTGACAATCCTGGTGAATATTGGTGCAATTTATTCGTCTGCCACTGTGTCTTTTTATCAGTGTTAGCAGCTGAGGTAGCAAATGCTGCTGTCGGGTGGATCCGCCGCTTTGGTCCAAACTGAAATATATTAATGTAGATAAATTAACGGTCCTCAGAGGAAGATTTTTCGCATTTTCACTTGTTTGCAGAAAAATCTCAGCATCTAATAAAGTCGTTGGCACAAAATTTGGTACAAACATTTATAGTTAAAGAGCATTCCCAATTTTGCAACAAAAGATATATATATATATTTTATTTTTTTAATGCTCACTTGAGGTTGTTGATGTAAAAAAACAGTTAATGCGCTGATGGGAGATAAGAACACCTTTTGCCAGTTTTTTTTGTTTCTTGTCTTTGTCTTCAAAGTTTTTAGCGATTAGCAAACAACTGGGTTTGTGACAGAAAACGAGTAGGCTATAGCAACGAGGAGTACTGCAGAAAAAACCTCGAAAAAAGTTTCTCATTCTTCAGATAATCAATCGGCCTCAACAGTGTAACTGCTGTTACTGCCAAAGGGGGTAAACTAAAGTTGCACACAGCAGGTTTAATATCTTTATTATTCTATTTAATAAAGCAAAATCCAATGGAAATATATCAACTAATGTTGATTTGTTGCTCGAAAACATATTGTCAAATCAAGTCCTGAGACATTTTTAGCCTTTGACTGTTTGGAACCACTTGTTTGGAGCATGTTAGCATTTTGTAAATTCGGGTTTCATTTACAGTAAAACAAACTTGTGATTATTATGTACATATCACTGTGTCCAGTGTCGTCCAAATCTCAAAGTCGTGGCTTCAAAACGGCAGAACCAATGGATGACATCCATCTTTTATACACAGTCAAGAGTGTAGCCTCACGGAGCTGCTAGCACGGTGGACCAATAGTCTTCAGTTACCACACAGTTCAAAACCTTCAGATGCTACACATGGGGGCTTTAAGATGAGCAGAAAACAAAAAATAAAGGTCGCTTGCTTACTGTACATGTTTTGCTTTTTTTTCTCAAGCATTTTCAGCAGCACAGAACGGCTGCTACAGTTCAGGATGCTAATCGTTCCTTTCGTACTCGGGTACTTGGATTCCACTGCCGGCGAGGTTCAGGGCTGCAGGAATGTAAAGCTTGAGCGAGTGGAACTAACGCGGGATGCGAGTTCCCCTCCGTCAGCTCTGACCCGCAGCCTCGAGCCCCGGCCGCACAGTGAACACTTTGTGCTGATGAACTGCTTATCTTTGTGCCGAGACGCTTTTAAGAAGCTGAGAGCAGCACCAATGTAACTCCCTCCGGCCTCGGTCCTGCGTCACAACATTAACAGCAGGGTTTTTAATTTCCAAGTCAAAAGTTCACCAACTGTTTCACGGCTGCTACTGCGTACCCCAAATCCAAATACTGGCTACTGTTGTTTCTTGTGTGTGTGTGTGGTTTTTTTTTTTTTTATTTTAAATATCCTTTTTACATATCTCACAAATGTCTTAAAAGAAGCGTTACTTTACTTTTAAATCATCCTCAGGCTTGATTCTATGTGTAAACCGCATCCATGATGTTGTTCAATTCTGGGCTTCGACCGAGCTGACACTCTATATCTGACTTAAATGAGCACGGCACTCGCGTTACGCCGTTAAACATACTTCCTTTTCGTGCACGGCTCTTTAACAATATGCCTGAGCAATGAAATAATCACATCGTGGGTAAAGAGGGACCCGGGGGGGGGCTTTTGGATGGCGGCTCTTTATGTGATATCTGTAATACGGCTTGGACTTCCACGTATTGTACATTCCAGAGTTTGACACCAAGAAAAGAAGAAAATCTGTGCACATTTATAACATATTTTCAAGTGATTTTGTTTACAAGAGCTGTATCCTTGCATGAGCTGAGATTCTTTGCAAAAATGAATAAATATCATCTTTATTTACTGTCAGACTCTGCTGCTTTCTTTGTCTTTTTTTTTTTTTTTTTATTAAAACTGTGCGTCATCTGAAAAGTTTTCAGAGACGCACAAACAACCTTGAGGCTCTTTTTCATGCTTGGATTCTTTAAAACATTCTTGGAAAAGCACTGAGTGGGAAATATTGAGTGTTCACAGGGAGATGGGGAGAGTTTCTAAGGAAATGCAGCAAACAGTGAAACGAGCCTTGAGCGATGTTTTCTGTCTGTCACAGTATCTGACTCTCTTTTGTCTAGCCTGTGTTTTTCTGGTCTGTTTAAATATCAGGACATTGTTTTTTACCTAAACTTGGGGTTCGGGCTTGTTGTTACATTTTGTGAATAAGTCACCAAGACCACCAGAATGTACAGTGTTTACAGATGAGGAGATAAAAAATGCTAATTTACAATATTCTTACAAGACATCCGCCCTAATCGAACTCCCACTCTGTGTCTTAATGCATTAATCTGCATGTTTGGAATGTATAGATGGTTTTCCTACGAGGGAGTGAAGGTTGGTGGCTATAAAATGAAAACATGTTGATCTTAAAATTGCTAGAAGTCAAGTCTCAGTTACTTAAGTTGCAGGTTTAAAACAACAGATGTTATGGCAAACTACAAGAAATAAGACAAGATGATCCGTTAATCCCACAGTGAGTAAACTTGCAATGCTACAGCAGCAAAGATGGTGCAAACGTTTAACCTCTTCAGACCCGAGCTCTTGTTTGATACATTTTTTTTTAATGGGAATCAAAATTTGATGTATGTGGACGCCAGGTCTGAAGAGGTTAAGGCATAAAGTATAATACTGAAAATAAACCAAAATATAAATAAGTACGAGTTCTAAAAATAAAATGATTGCATGTATCAGTAGTATTGAACGGTTTATGAATAGAAATACTGATATTATTATTGCACAGACTGAATATACACACGTGGACAAAATAGTTGGTACCCCTATTAATGAAAGAAAAACCCACAATGGTCACAGAAATGACTTGAATCTGACAAAAGTAATAATAAATAAAAAATTCTATGAAAATTAAGCAATGAAAATCAGACGTTGCTTTTGAACTGTGGTTCAACAGAATTATTTTTAAAAAATAATCAAAATTAACTCATGAAACAGGCCTGGACAAAAATGACGGGACCCTTAACTTAATATTTTGTTGCACAACCTTTGGAGGCAATCTCTGCAATCAAACAATTTCTGTAACTGCCAATGAGACTTCTGCACCTCTCAGCAGGTGTTGTGGCCCAATCCTCATGAGCAGACTGCTCCAGTTTGTTTTTGGTGTTGGTGTTGTTTTTTGCTGAAAACAACAATCACTTCATTTAATTCACCCTGAATTTAGCAGATGACTTTATCAAAACAAATAAATATGTAAAAGTTAACCATAGTAAATTATTATAAATCACAATACTGATCAGTAGTGTGCTCTTTTGGCAATCAGAGGCCAGAGAAGCTGCTGGAAGAACATCCACTGACACAAGCAAAAGGTAAGAGACATTTGTGTTAACTTCCATCTCACGTGGTAAACCTTGATTTGCCGCTGATAAGCACCCGTTTAATGAGAACACAGCAGCTGATAGAAAAGTCAACACTCCCCGTCGGGGAATCGAACCCCGGTCTTCCGCGTGACAGGCGGAGATACTGTCCACTATACTAGCGAGGACTACATGATACGAAAATTTGTCACGTGAATGCTGAGGCGGCACAGTGTCAATTCTTGCTTTCCTTCTTTGATCATTCATCAATGTTATTTTCCAAGAAAACTGATTAATCAGCAGGCGGTGTTTTAATGCGTGTTAATCTGTTTGTTGGCTGGATAACAGCCTGCTCTGGAGCTGATTAAAACAGTGTTATTAATATTCCCAGGTAAAAAGAAAACCACTATTATAAACCCTGATTTACCTGTTTAACCTCAAATCTCTGCAGTGGATTACAGCTGGATACTGTCTAGTTTCAGTCACGACACAGCTCAATGACGTTGTGTGTTTAACCTTGTAAAATGCATCTCTGTCAGAAGTGGGATTCGAACCCACGCCTCCAGGGGAGACTGCGACCTGAACGCAGCGCCTTAGACCGCTCGGCCATCCTGACTGTAATCACCTGCTGAAAGTGTCCAGAAGCGGCCAAACGGAGGGAGGTTGCTTTAAGTTTGATTTAAATGCAGATCTTAGAGCGTATTGCTTTATTTCCTTTTAATTCATTTAAATACCCATTTAATCAACCAGCTGATAGAAAAATCAACTCTCCCCGTCGGGGAATCGAACCCCGGTCTTCCGCGTGACAGGCGGAGATACTGTCCACTATACTAACGAGGACTACGTCAGCTTTAAACCATCACGTTGAACGGGACCTGGCACGGTTTCTGCTTTGCCATGACTCTTACAAGAAATTGTAGAAGCTGATAAAACACACAAAGAAACTACTGAATGGATCATCAGAGAGAACTCAGAGACTGTCCCTGATGTCACTGATGTAGCGACACACAAATAATTTAGGTCATGGTACTCCATGTTAAGATACATATTTTGAGTATTTAACCAAGTAATTGAAATAATGGTGTTAAGACCCTAAAGTATTATATATATCATACAAAAAGTTGTAACATTGAGTGACACAAATACATCTATGTTTCTGTTTGGCGCTGCAGCGATTCATCTTCCAACTTAAAACAACAGACCAGACGGCATGAGCTCG